GAGTTATGGGTTCGGGCATGGAATGCTCCCTCTCCTTTTGGCAATAGAATGAACATGTCTCCGCACCGTGCCATGACTGAGATTGGGTGGAAGCCTCCACCGGCAGGTTGGACGAAGATCAACGTTGATGGGGCTGCAAATGCTATGCAAGGGATGGCCGGGGCGGGTGGAGTGGTCCGCATCTCCGACAGCAGCTGGGCAGGAGGATTCGTTTCAAGCCTAGGCTCATGCTCGGCAACTTTAACTGAGCTCTGGGCTATCTATTATGGACTGAAGTTGGGATGGAAGTTAGGATTTAGACCCCTCATCATCGAGTCTGGCTCTCAAATGGACATCCAACTAGTAAAGAACAGGAGTGATCCTCTTCACCCTTATGCAGCGATCCTCTCGGCTATCAGGAGGAAGATCTCAGTAGACTGGGTGGTGAACCTAGTTCATACATACCGGGAAGGGAATAAAGTCGCGGACTGGCTCTCGAAGCACAGTCTCGTCTATCCCTACGGTATGTGCGAACTAGAGGATCCACCGCAAGAGCTCCTTCCCACCTTACTGGACGACCAAAGAGGGGGCACTTATCCTAGGAATATTGTGATCGATACCCCTGCTACCCCCTTCTGACTTTTCTCTTCTCCCCTTTGTTTCTCCCTTCTTTGGCCTTGCGCCTCGTTTGATGCAAAAAAAAAAAAAAACTAATATCCACAATCAACTAACTAGTATTCAATATGGATACTCTTGTGTATTATTTGTATACTCTTATGTGTTATCTGAATACTAATTATGTGCTGTATGAATACTATTCTGTGTTGTCTAGATATTAGTTTGTGAATTCAGGATAATAGTTGATTCATGGTGGATATATCAGTTAGCAAACCTTGAATACCAGTTTGTGCTCTCTAGATACTTTAGTTCATGTATTTTGGATATCAATTAGTATCTGCTAACGATTCTTCAAGTTAACAAATTAACTTTCCCCGAAATTTTGAATGGAGCATGTTTGGATGGAGAATCTCCATAAATAAGTGTTAGGAGGATTCTACATATAAACCCCTCTTCGCTAATATGCTAGCATTTTTTTGGCAGTGTTAATTAGGGTTCGGGTTCGGGTTCGGCCAATAATAAATGAATGAGTCGGATGAAGGTTTGGTTACAGCAACACCGGTTGCTCATTGGGTTTTATACTTAAAACTAATTTCTATTATTTAATTCTAAATAAGCCAAATTAACTCTAATTTAACCTAGCCCTAAACGTTACCTTTTGGAGCTCGTTCCCCTCCTTCTTATTCGGCATCTCCCAGGAAGAAACCAAAAATCCTACCGCTCTGTCTTCTTCTTTTCCACCAGTCGATCCACAGCAAACACCACCACCCGTCCATACATCTTCATCATCTATACTGCATCGTGGGGAGAAGAGGAAGCAAGGCGCAGCTGAGGCGGTGGAGCTCGGTAGGGGCTGGCGGCGGTCGGGTGGTGGTGATCGACCTATCGGAAAGTTGTGGCGGCACGATCGGGATGTACGATCAAAAACGATTGGAGCCGATACCGCAATGGCCAGCGATGTTGGCGGCCGGGAGAGCCTCAACAATGAGGGGTTGTACAAGGTAATTCACTACCGCACTAAAATGTCCATTATTACTAAATTATTGAAGTCATGGATTCATGGGTACGAATGTAGATTTAACAGTTAAACGTGAAGCGGGGTAGAGATTTTGGTTAACTAGTGGGCTATTGCTCTTTGCTTTCGGGGTGATGGTGGCTGGATTATGAGATTGATTCTCATCAGTGCAACTTGGAATGCACGAGAATGAAATAATGGGTGGAAGCCAAATGAAAGGGAGTTGGAGCATTGGGTTACTACTTACTATAATATTAGCGCTCGTTCTTGTTAGTGGTGATTTTGGCAATTAAATCAACCCTATATATACGCCCGGACGTACCCTAGCCTACCGTACGCCCGTTGAGTTTTGCTATTTAGACAATAAATTAACCGGAGTTTGGGGCACGATACTATACCCTAACCCCTAATGGGTGAACCCCAGTCCGCAATTCACTAACCCAAATAATAATATTCATTTAATCTTGAAATGAAAATCAACGGTTCTGATTCGTCGAAATTATTGTTGATTTTCATTTTAAGATTAAACGAATCTCATGATTTGGATTAGAACTAGGGACTGGGGTTTATCCATTAGTGGTTAGGGTATAGTATCATGCCCAAAACTCCGGTTAATTCTTGATCTAAATAGCAAAACTCAAACGGGCGTACGGTAGTCTAACGTACGCCCGGGCGTACGCTAGCCTGAACCATATATATATATATATGGTTCATACTCGCTCCAGACGCATAGCATGCTCCAGGTGCTTTGCACCGTAGATCTAATCTAACAGCGGTCATTAATTATATTAATAATTATGTATTTATTAAGAATTAAATTATAAATTGAACCCTTTAAATAATTATACGTGCTATGAAGTCCCCCAACAATAATTACTATTATATTTTCTCGTATGATACCTTTATTTCCTAGAGGGTTTTATTGAAAACGAAGATTTATAAAATTGATAATAAAATTTCATTGTAATGTGGATCTTCAAGTTCATCCACCCGTACCCCAAGCCCTTCGACCATCATCATCGATTCATCATCAGTTCATCACAACTACCCCCATTAACTACACTCAATTTTACAATCATCATCCTAATCCAACAACCATAACCTAAAACCATAAAGTGTCCACCAGAATTAGTTGACGGCGTACGACCACAAAAGGATGCCGTGAAAAACAGAGGTTGCGGTACGGCCATTGCCGGAATCGGGATACTAGGCGATTAGTTTCCTCACATCGTCGTTCTGTATACGACAAGATCGAAAAGAAATTAAAGGGGGAAAATTCGAGGCAGAGTTTCCTCCCATCAAGGGTTCAATCACGCTGATGAGTTGGGGTTGTCTCGATCAATGTCAGGGAGAGGCTGCTGGAGAATTCGTTGACCGGCCGCCGCACCCGAGCTCCGGACAGTAGGGGTTTCTGGTGGGATGTGGGTGCCTACAGAACGTGGGATTTCCGACGTAGAGAGATGGGGATGGGATTACGGCGAGGTCGGCAATTGGGTCATCCGAATGAGAGTGAAAGCGATTGGATTGGTGTCGTGGGCTTGGCGGAGAAGAGAGAGGTGTTGGATAAGCTCCTAGCGGATTGCTCTCTTTCGCAACGATCGTGCGTCCCTGAACTTAATTCTGGTGACCGAAGATGATAATAGAAACTGAGAAAATATACAGGGAGATATTGGGGAAGAAGAAGAGGAACGAGAAAAGAAGATATTGAAGTGGTTGGGCTGGGGGAGGAAAAAAATATTTAATTCATGAAAGGTTTCGAACCACTGATCCTATGATTATGATGGAGAACATTCACAATTTCGGCTGGATTATATTATTGATTACATACACATATGCATTGCATAGAATTTGGAAAAGGTCAATGGGTCGATTCTGCTTGACCCAAGTGGCCAATCCTTCCCCTGCTCGCGTGTTTTGATTAGGGAACTCTCCTCCAGGATACATTTTGTCCCGGGAATATGCTGTAACCCAGAGGTTATATTTCAAGAAGGCAGCTCTTCTGAGGAACTTTGCTTCTGACCCAGCTAATGGCAGGCAGTTTCATCCAGGTACTAGTTTGTAGCCTGTGAGTTGTCCGGTACGATTCACAGTTCTTGTGTTCCTAATCTGGTCAACATGTCATGAACTAGGATCAGGAGCAAGAAAAAATGATCAAAAATTGAAAAGGGATTTGATCATGTTTTTTATTATTCACAATCCAATGGCGGGCCAAGAGAGGATTGCAGACACGCATTGCCTGCAATTCAGTCCTGAGAAGTTCCTCTTCTGGGTAGAATGCATTGTTGTGTACATTATCTTTTCCGTGATCTTCAACTTTAACATTCATTTCAACAACCTAAGTGCAAGGGAAAAAGAGAAGCGATCAACTAATCATCAATGCTCTACAGAACTTTCAATGGCTTTAATGTTTGGTTAGTTAGGTAAGTTATACCTGGTTAAATGCTTCACCAGACTTAAAATCAACAACCATGTCTTAGTGATACAAAAAGCAAAAAGATGATACAAAAAAAAAACCATGTCGGCATGTCTAGGGGTGGTAAACGATCTGTATCCGGTATACCGGTTACTGATTATCAGGTATTCGGTATACCGAAAAGAGAAATTGTGACCACTGAATACCGATACCGATTTTGTGTCGGTATACCGGGTAATCGGTAACCGGTATGAAACCGATATACCGAAACTTCATAAATGAGCCACTAAAAAATAAAAAATGATGCCTTTTCAGTCGAATCAAAATGAAGGGGAATTTCACTAATCCACTATCACAATATCACCATTCACCCAAATGCTGCCTTTTCATCATTCAACCACAAATCCACTATCACAAATCCACTATCACAAATCAATATCACCATTCACCCATCCCTTAAAATCACCAAGAGATCGACACCATATATATACTACTGGTCTACTGCCAATGGCCCACTTCATTCGGCAAACACTGTCATCACTATTTCAGTGATGCTAATACTATCATCAACCACTTCAAGTTTCACCTTTATTAACACACCTTTTAGAGGAATGCACGTTAACACGAGATGATCATACAAGCAACAGCAGGTTCCTACTTACTTAGTCCCCTCTGTTGCCCCTACTCTACTCAAAAGCATAGCAAGATGGACAAACTGGGACAATCACATTCCATGTGCTTAAACAAAAACAAATCCACGGCAGAGGCAAAAAATAGTTTTAGCATTCTCTTAAAATAAGATGTCTCTCCAAATTATAGCAAAGAGCAACAACGAGGGCCATCTCCAATGGAAGCATGGAACGACTAGTAATCTCCCCTGTTGCCACCGTCAGAAGAAATGTATAGACCAAATGTGTCGAGCATGAACAATTGAAAATGTACCAAATGTGTCGATGTTGTGGATCTAAACATATAGACCAAAGATTCTAAAACCATAAACTTAACTAGTTTAACAAACAAACAAGTTCAACATAGAACAAAAAGACTGAAAGCACTATCTCCATATAGCTCTAGTTCTTGTTCAGCCTCTTTCGATTTTCTTCCTTGTACGACGAGTCTCGAGTTCAAGCCTTGGAGCATTCCTATTTGCTTCCTTGATGACCACATGTCTTATGTAATTTGCAGGTTGTTTGACCATATACAAAGCTAGTTGCATTCTCCTCATATCTCCACATGGCTGAAATTTTTTCACGAAGACAATGGATCTCAATAGCAAAATCACTAGGTTGTTTAACTACAAGTTCAAACAAGTGAATTGTTGCTTACCCATATAAAATAATCTTCATCCCAAGTTGCACCCATCATCCATACGCACACCCAAACGCCACTATCATACCTACATAAATTTAGATGAAGCATATGAGTTGTGAGTATGTAAGTATGTTTTCGAATTTATGCATGAGGAATGATTCTTACTCGTGACGTTATTCAGGAACCGAAGGAATTGTCAAAGAGAACTCCTTCATCACTGGAGGATCACACATTTGTTCCACTTGTAAATAAAGATCCTCGAACAAGGCATCGAGAAATCCAATCTACATAAGGAGTAACTTTATTACCTATAGAAGAGAACAAAAATCCAGTTCACAAATATAATCGTATTCCACGCACAAATTCTTACCATACCATAGTTTGTACTACATCTTTACGAGGTGTTTGGCGCTCTTTAGAAGGATATGAATCCAAGATATGGACTTGCTTGTCATCCATCAAGATGACAACTAAATACCAATGAATGTCCTCACCATGCATCATATCATTCATTGGCAGACACAACTACATTACGACAAGAAAGACCAAAATCAGTGGACCATATTTGACATTCCAGTTATGAAAAAGTTAAATAGCTTGATTGGAAAAAAAAGTATTCACATATACCTTCAAACAATAGCTAGAAACAGTTAATGAGGAAGCCAAAAGTGAAATGCCGAAGAAAGTATTGAAAAGGAAACCTTTCTGCAGGTGTGAGCTCTTATGAGAAACTTTGTACCGTAACACTCTAAAGCTTTTTTCAGTGTCATGCCATAGTTAAGTACCATTTCCTAATCATGATTTGATTAAATTAGCAGAATTAAACGTTCATTATATACCATAGAACAAACAGTATATTTAACCTAAAATAAATGTACAAGGTAAATCAATATGTACCTGCAGTTCATTAGGCAGAAAACATACTCTTCATCCATGCCCAGCATCCATCGAAATTTCGTCCAGGGTCAAGTGGCAAGTCATTTCTGTAATTACCTAATACACCAACCAATCAGGGTGAACAAATTTTATGAGATTGATATTATACGAGTTGAACGGTAAGAAGAGAGGTAATGTGTAATCTGTTACTAACTCTATTGAAAATGAGAAGCAAAGAAAGCATATTAGAAGACCAATATTTTGATTGTTTTGATATAATTGAAAGACGCAAACGCCATCCTACACTCTATACAAGTACAAAGAAAGACACATATAGAGTTGGTTCCTTGACTTTTTTGCTCATTATTAGTAACTTGGGAATAGTAGGGGGTTAAGGAAGCTGGGTGGAAAGAGGCAAAGAAACAGAAGCCAGGTGGAAGAAGAAGAAGATACATAAGCCAGGTGGAACATAGCAGATATAAGCACAAAGAAAGGCACATGTAAACTTGGTTCCTTATATGTTGCCTTACTAAAAAATTTGCCAATAATTCGTATTAAAACTTACATCAGCATCAACATTGGAGTTAGGGCAGAGGGACCATAGAGCCTTTCGTGTATAGGATTTCATCATGGTATCGACTAGGACCTCTTTTAGCGGAAGGTCAGCTGCAAATATGTAGTGAGCAAGTTTGATTTCCTCCTCACTGTAGTTGACATCGTGAGGCAGCCTAAACTTAGTTTCTGCCTGCAATGGAAGATGAAAGAATATTAGTGGGTTCGTAAAAATATAACCAATGATTTCGTTTTAAGGCAGAAAAATATTAGTAGGGTGGATAAAAATACCTTTTTGGTGAATTGCAGGGAAGAAAATCTGGTACGACTTCTCCAGACAAAAGCATTACCATCTTCCCTCGATTCGCCATCAAGAACAATCATATTTGATCCCGACGTCGATGGAGGGATCACACCGACTTCAGTTCTAGCTTTCTTTACCGGAGATGCATCCTTCTCCGGATCCTACATTCATAGTAATAAAAACAAACGCCGTTATTTAGTTTTTAACGAAAAATAAGCTGCCAACGATGGAGATATGGAAAACATGTAAACTGACAAACCATTATATCGGACGACCGCGCCTTTGATCTTGTCATTATCCCGCTATCCATAACGTTCTGCATCTTGTTCTTGTCCCTGAGATAAAAAAAGAAATCATAATGAATAGACGAGGAATTTAGAAGAAAGAGAGACTTTACGATGGTGCCCTTCTTCCTCGTGCATATAATTGGCTTACCCTGGCTTTCCCATGGTCCTCTTCTGTTCCAGCTTCACAAAATGGTGCGGAATTGTGCTCTTCTAATCCTGCCGTCACAGAGCTGGATATTCCTGAAAGCATAAAGGAGGTTCACACGTCTTAATATGGGGGATGTAGAGTGTTTTTATCTTTATGGTAAGTGTAATATTTATCTACCATATTAAGTCAACTTATAAAATTTTATTAAAGCTATACAGGAAAATCTTTTATCATTAATTAAAGCTAGTGTAATATTTATCTACCTTATTAAATGAACTTAGAAATTCAATTAACAGCTATACGGGTAAATCTTTTATCATTAATTAAAGTGGAAGGTTAAGCTATCAAAAGTATTAAAATAATAATGTAACTAACCTAAATTTAAGTATTAAAATAATCATTCTTAACAAAGACAAAACGACAGAGGGGTGAAAATATGTTTCCAGCAGCAGGTTGGGCATAATTCTTGTACGTACATACACGTTCCCCCGCCTGCAACCCTGCCAAACCACCTATAGTCACTATCCCACTCTGCCGAGACCCTAAACCAAAAATTTTTGCAGCCATTGTATCGATGGAAGAAGAAGAACATCCTCGTAATAGTGCCATCGAAGATGACCTTGAGAGTTTAGAGGAAACAGGAGAAACGGACAATGGCATTCCGAATGGAGAAACGACTGGGATCGAAGATGTGATTTTAGATCCTCCTAAAATCGGCCAGATATTTAACGACTTCGAAGAAGCTTACAATTTCTACAATGATTATGCAAGGGCTCGGGGATTCTCTGTTAGGCGCTCAAAGAAAGTTCGGAACAACAAGGGAGAGGTTACTACTGGAGCTTTTGTTTGTTCTTTTGAGGGACATAGAGCCCCCAACAAAGGAGAGAAAAAGAGAGACTCCCCCATGGAGACGAGATTTGGTTGTAAAGAAAAAATGCGTGTGGCATTTAACAAGAATGATTCAAAATGGATAGTGGATATATTTAAAGAAGATCACAATCATATGCCAATTAATTGGCAGTGTACTCATCACGTGAGATCACAACGAGGGTTAACAGAGGTTGACAAGGCAGACTTTAGATTTAAGAAGAATGCAGGTATGAAACCTTCTCAAATCATAAAGCTTACTGTGCATAGTGCTGGAGGACATGACAAAGTAGGGTACACAGTAAAAGATGGGATGGATTTCAGCACCCGAGATCGCAATGAAAGGCTATGTCCTAGTGATGCGGCAGCCGCACTAGCCTATCTTGAATCGAAGAAAAGTACGACACGCACTTCATCCTCCAATACACTACTGACGAGGAAGATAGGCTCCACAGTTTATGCTGGGCAGACAGTATGAGCATAGCTGACCTCTCGTGCTTTGTAGAGTTGCTCGCATTTGACACGACATACAAAAAAAATATTTACAACATGCCTCTTGTTATTTTCACAGGTACACACCTTTGGGCTAATTTTGGTTCGTATATTCAATTTTATAATCTCTAAACAAGTTGAGAAGCACTTGCTATTTAAGGTATCAACCATCATTTCACGAGTTGCTTATTTGGGAGTGCACTGTTAGCTAATGAGACTGAAGAGAGCTACAAGTGGGCTTTGGAGATATTGAAGGAAATGTTGGGTGGAAAGGACTTGCATACAGTTGTAACAGATGGGGATAAAGCAATGAGGAATGGTATTGCTACTGCGTTTCCAAATGCAACACACCGGCTTTGTGCGTGGCATCTTTCAAAGAATATCAAGGGCAAGGTGAAGAACAGCCCAGACTTCAAACCCCAATGGAGCACATTTGTAACTGCTGATTATGAGCAAGAAGAATTTAAAGAGAAATGGAAGGCATTAGTGGGAAAATGTGGTCTACAGAACAACCAATGGGTGACTAAAAATTTATTTGGGAGACGCGGAGAATGAGTGGACACATACTTGCGCTCACACTACTTTGCCGGGTTGACAACCACATCAAGAAATGAAGGTATAAATTCATTTGTTCGAAGATATTTGGAGGAGAGACACTGTTTGCTTAACTTTTTCATTCAGTATGACCGTTGGTGTAGGGATTGAGGGAAACAGAGATCAAATTAGATTTTAAATCTAATTATGGTTTCACCCCGCTAAAGAGCACCATGCTTAGACCCCTTGAAGAAAGTGCAGTTAAGTTGTTCTCGAAAGCTGCATTTCTTAAATTCAGAAGTGAACTAGAGCAAGTTATTGGGTGCATAAAGAACACTCAATCTGAGGATGGAAACATACACACCTACAGTTTCTGTATGTTCAACAAACAGAAGGTTGTGGAGGTAAAATACATCCTGGAAACAAAGGATATGGAGTGCAGCTGTAAAAAAATTAACAGTGTTGGAATCCCTGCACTCATATGCTCTGTGTGTTGAAAGAAGAACGGATGAAAAGTCTTCCTGAGAAACTGGTACTTAAACATTGCTCAAAGAACCCAAAGTCAATAGATAGTATGCCACCACCACCTAAGTTGGGGGATGATCATTCTTTCAACACCAGGTATGGGTCACTCCAGTTCTTGGCTACACATATTTTCCTATTGGGGGTAGAGACTCCTCTATCTTTCCAGGTTGCTCGAGGGGGGTTGACAGCAGTGAGGGACAAGTTGGAAATGATGAGAACAACTCTGACTGAAAGGGAATCTATGGTAATACCTAAGGAGTTCGAAAGAGTCCTCAACCCCAAAAAAGTGATGTTCAAGGGATGTACAAAAGGAAAGGCTAAAAAACAACAGAAGAAAAAGAAGAGGAAGTGTGGGAGATGCGGTAGAAGGGAAAGTTATTATATTAAGACTTGTCCTAAACCCGAAGGCCACGTGCCGCCAGCTACAGAATCTTCGTCTGATGAAGAGGATGACGACGATGATATGGATTTTG